AAATATTTTACCTTTAAAAAGAGATATGAACTTTAATTCAAATCAGATTCAACATTAAATAAATTTTATAAAAATCACACTGATCAATATATTTCAATAAGATGAAAAATATCACATCTAAGCATATTGATATACTACATATTTTTGTCTAAAGTTCTATTGCAAAAACATCTTATGGTCATCCTCTTTACTCATGCCTTCTTAAAAAAAAAGGAAGGAAAAATTACAAACTAATATAAACCCGCGTCAAAAAATGTTAAACAAAGGTGGGAAATTGGTCCAAGGCTAGAAAAGTAATCTTAAGTGCCGGGTGTGGGGCAAGCAGCTGTGGTTACGGCGTCCAAATTCTAGCACTGACCAAAAGCGGACCAAGTCGCCCTTCCAAGTTGCGAGTTCCCACTATAAATGGCGGCCCATGTCCCCATTCCCCTCATCCCAATTTCCATACTCCGAAGTAATCCCAAGAAAATAAAAAGTAAAATCTGATTTTCCAACCCTACAAATCAAAAAGCCAGCTGCAGCCTGCAGGCTTAATTTTCTTTTTTTGCGCCATCAAGAAATCATGAAGAAATCAGGAATTGTAGCAGCTTCCATGGCTGCAGCTTCTGCATCAGCTTACTCTGTTTCTTCCTCCTCTTCATCCAAGACCAACATCCCTCATGAGGTATATGGTAGTCCTTTACTACTCTTTCTTTTTCCTATACTTTCGTTTTCCATGTGACTCGAGTCCCTCTCATTCTTGCACAAGAAAATCTTCTTTCTTGGAAATTAAGGAGATGAGAAGACTTTGTGAAATCCCACGTTTTTTCTTGTTGGAAGTCGACTCTTTTTACTTGTTTATCCTGTTTTTTCTCCCTAGTTTTTCAAGGTTAGGAGGTGAATATAGTCTTCTATGTAATGAATGAACGTTAACTTTGCTTGATTTGCTTAAATTTTTTTAGCTGACGAAGAATTGATTCATTCTTGCCAGGATCTTAATGTTTCGAGCAAGAAAAAAGAGAAGAAATCTGCATCACAAACAACAACTTCTTCAGATAAATTTGCGCCAAGGTTTGATGGGTTGAGGTTCATAGAGACTCTGGTTACTGCTCACAGATAAAAAGAAGCCCTGATTCCAATCCATCTCTAACTTGAATTCTTGAAAAACCATGGGTATTAGTATGATGTTTTTCGGAATCACAGCATAGACAATGGGAAGAAAAACAGAACAACTCTCTGTTTCTTCTTTCTCTTCCCTTTTTTTTTTTGGGTGGGGCTGACTATGAAGGAAAAAGAAAACAAAAATTGATGGTTTCTTTGTTAAGGTTTTGTTGCAACTGGTGGGCTTTTCTCATGATATTGCTGTCTCTGCTTGTATTGTAATCAGCTAGTTCTGGCAAATTGATTGAAATATTAGTAATATTGCCCCATTTATACTTTCTCTTTTCTTCAATTTTGTGCACTTTTATACTACTGTTTATACTAGTTCTAGCAGTAATTATTGGCTCAACAACCGGTACAAATACTCAGGACATTCAATATTATTTAATAGACTTGTCCTAGGGGAAAAATGTTTGATGGTTATGGACAGGATGTGGACAGGATGATAGCATTATAAATGTGATTACGGTGATGCATCACTATTTGTTTAATCAGCAGAGATTATTGACCTTAATACACCGTTGGACTACAATAATTTGACGTACTTATTATGATTTTAAAAAAAATTAATGATGAGTTGTACTATGACATATAAAACATTTTGCAGAAGCCCTACGCCATCTTGTTATGCAGGTGAATATGTAGTTTGAGATCTGTTCCCGCACACTTTTCTGCAAAAGTCATGTTTAGATTTGGATGCAACTGTAGAATGCCCTTTCGTCTTCTTGTATGGGGATATTCTCAGCATCTGGGAAAGGCAGCAAACATATTCCGCAATCAGGGCTGTGGTATCATTGTTCCAAATTCAATTATGTTATCATTTCAGACTCCAAATCCCCTGTATTACAGATGATTTACAAGACATTATTTGATTGCATCATATGCACGTTTTTTAATTTATTTTTTTTATCTCACATACACTATCACAAAAGTAGTAGAATTAATCTTTTATACACTGATAGTGTATACACTTTCATTATTGGATGTCAGACATATAATTTGAATTTGAATTTGAATTTGAAACTCAATTTTTATATATATGTAGTGTATTCAATCATGATAGTGTCCGCACTATTAGCGTATATAAGATTTACTCAAAATATTATATTGTTGTTTCAAAAAACTTTTCCAAATAATCCTCTTTCCAAACATACTATCTACTGTCATTGTAGTACATTAGGTGATATGTCACGCTTCATTTTTGGCATATGACTAAGTATGCACTTAAAATCTGACTAATCTGTCATTGTAGCTATGATAAAAGATGTGTGACACTTGCGTTTAATCTGAAGAATCTCTAATTGGCAAGCCTTATGAGCACATCTATAGCTGGCATATAATATACTTTCTGATGCTACACTAAAATATCCACCGAACACCGACAATCAAGGCTGTGGTATCATTGTTCCAAATTCAATTATGTTCTCATTTCAGACTCCAATTCCCCTGTATTACATATGATTTAGAAGACATTATTCGATTGCATCATATATACGTTTTTTAATTTACCTTTTATGTTTTTATTTATTTTTTTATTTCACATATAGTACATCACAAAAGTAGTAGAACTAATTTTCTACACGCTGATAGTATATACACTTTCACCGTTGAATGCATGACACATAATTCAAATTTGAATTGAAATTCAAAATTTTCATATATATCATGTATCCAATCGTGATAGTGTATACATTATCAGTGTATATAAGATTTATTCAAAGTATTATATCGTGTTGTTGTTTCAGAAAACCTTTCCAACTGTCATTGTAGTACGTTAGGGTGGTATATCACCCTTCATTTTTGGCATATGATCAAGTATGCACTTAAAATCTGACTAATCTGTCATTGTAGCTATGATAAAAGAAGTGAGACACTTGCATTTAATTTGAAGAATCTCTAATTGGGAAGCCTCATTAGCACATCCATAGCTGGCATATAATATACTTTCTGATGCTACACTAAAATATCCGCCAAACACCGACAAATCCAAGCACCTTAGGTCGAAGGAAAGGCCCAAAACATGAACAAAAAAATCAAGAAAGAGATCAATGGCATCAATTGAGGTTGAATGGAACATAGGTAAATTATTCAAGATGACTTGGTTGGGAGTCAGAAAGACAAAGACCTGTCATTGTACGTGCAACCACACACACAAATTTGTCAAAATTTTCAACTTGACTCGAAATCATGAGACAGAAAGATGGGTAAAACAGTGAAATAATTTATTCGCCAAACACCTTTCATCCAAGAAATTATATATTGAACCTACCAATGATACGCTGACACGATTCTTTAACTGGCATTGGCCACAGCCAATAGTATATGCGTAATTTTGTTTGTTGTCCACATTATGTCTTCATTTTCCTCGTTTAGGGGGACAGAGGTTGAACTTTCATGGCTGTTGTTTTGTGAGCAATGATGTTGCTTTAAGGAACTTTTGCTGTTTGCTTTACTGGGATTTTCTGTCTGATACCTTCTCAATCCCTCTCCCTTTTCCTAGTCCGACCAATGTACTAAAAGAATCAAGAAACCATCAATGACCTGCATAACATGTTATCTGTTACTAATAGATCAAGATGGCATAGCTAACAACACAGGCAACACTCATGCTCTTGCACCCTGAAGGAATTACAATAAGTAGCATTAGTTGGAGAAATCATCATGTTTGGGAAATTTAAGAGCCATATGTTGTGTGCGTGATCAGCCAATTGGATTAACTAATTAAAATTACAATTGCAACTTGTTTTTTTCCTTGTTCTTTGGCTATAGATATTGTGGAAATAAATTCTGTAAAGCCAAAATTTTTTATTTATGTAACAAATGTCACCTTAGACTTAATTTTCTCTGAAATTCAACTGGACAAGTATTTTTGTTTTACAACTTGACATATTATGTTCATGTTCCGAACTTAATCATAACTACTGATAAGTTATATATAGCCTATACAATAGTGGCCTTAACATGATATAAATGGAGAATTGAGTCAGATAATGAGTCGAAAGAGACGATAAGTTGAGATGTTTGAAATCAAAACTTTTCACTTAAAACAAAAAAGAAAAAAAAAAAGAAGTTGCAACTATAAAATCGACAAACATATACATAGAACCTATAATGAATTACACAATCAAATAAAGTAAATGCATTGAGCAACAATATTCCTCGAATATTTAATTGTCTGTAATAATTACTACATAATGAAATTTAATCACGAAAGGGAAAAAAAAATAGAGAGAAAGAAAAATCAAGAATCAAGTGGGAGAAGAAGTTTGAAAATAATAGGTTATAGTAACATTTTTGTTTGCTTCCTTGACGTGATTGGAGGGACGGTGACTAATAACGGCGGTGGCTGGCGCAAGTTGCTGGTGAATGAATTGTGACGGGGACGATCGGCTCTAAATTTTATGCTATTTGGACGGCCTTAAAATTTTCTTTTTTTTAAAAAAAGGATTTTGGCTGGGAGGGAATTATAATCTCAATGCAAAAATGAGAAGCCAAATTTTTAATTTCATCTTTGTATGTTTAGCTTGAAGACTACATACAGTTTTTAATTTTTTGATGATTTTTGTTTTGTTCAAGAGAGGAAAAAAAAGGAAAAACTTGAGATTTTTGTTTTGTTCAAAAGAGAGGGAACCTCCCTTGAGGTTTTTGACTATTTCACTGCCCTCCCTTCAAGTTTTAAAAATTATATTAACCTCCCTTAAAATTTATTATTTTATAACATTTAGATCCAACAAACAATTAAAAAGTGATATTAGAAGAGAGAAATGATAATATAATTGTACCACTGTCCCTCATCTACTAAATTGTTTAATTAATTTAATATTAAAGAAAACACTAGAATTTGTGTTTGTCATTAGAGATCACATAAGGCATCAAAAATAGCATGTCATTCAAAAATCTGAAGAACCATATGCTTCTAGCAGAACGAATTAGGCTCAATATTGTCCAAGAGAATGATCAGAGCACAAAAAACGTTACAATCTCAAGATAAATATTACTTATATATAAACTCGGAGGATATCAATGTCTGAACTAGTAATTAGAAGGTGCGCATTTTCGATTTCTGTTCTTGAGTTTTAGAAGGCATTCAACAAAAACGTCAAGAAACCAGCTGCCAGCACCAGCACAGTTGATTGAGCAGTTTTCAGCGCCCCATTTTTCTTGGGACTTTCTGCTTCTGCAGATGCACATTCAAGGCCCTGGGCGCCATCCTTGCAAAAATTCGCAAAAAGTCCAGGAGGATAATGTCCATACATGTTAATGTAACTGAACATGGTTGATGCACAATCGTTTTTCATGTCATTCACTTGATCAGCAAAAGGGCAGGCGAATTCCTTGAAGGCATCGCAGCAGAGTTTTGGAGAGTAATTCGGCCCTTTGCATTGGCTAGTGATGATTGTGTAGTTCTGAGCTTCAAAGTTTACAGGGCAAGCTGAAAAGTTTCACGATTGCAGAAACTTTTAGCATACATTTTCCAAGAATTTTCAGTGTTCAATAATTCTTGTAGAATGGAAGGCTTATCTATCAAATTAAACTTTCCTTTTCTCTTTTGTTTTCCTGATAAGGGCATGTAGAAATGACCACCTATGGTTCTTTAGGCACGGAAAAACAACTTGAATTATGTCAATCTCGAAGAAACTTGGATAGATCACTAAAATGGTAATTTTTCTGTTCATGCAGTTAACTCCATTCATATGCTTATGAATTTTTTTTTCTGATATTATGAATTTTTTTAACATAAACTTAATTGTTTCTCCACATGTAACCAAACCTAGTTGGATTCTTTTAAACATAAATAATGAAAAGAATGTAGGCAGCATATGAGTTAATTTGTTGGAATGATTTACCTAAGTGAAAGAAATGCAAGATTGAAGCTAAATCCATGGATAACATGTCGGAGTATTAGCTTTATTGTTCATAATTTAGGAGGACTAAGAAATTCTGTAGATTTAACTAACATTCAGAAGGATATAACAAAGGAATAATTTTGGGATTCAGAAATCTAAATTTTAAGATGTCAAAAAAAAAAAATTTAATCAAGGATGCCCTCACAAGGAACAACCATGAAATTGTGGCAAAGATGAATATGATTTTGAAACTTAATTTATTTCTTCATTCCCAACAATATCCAGGACGCAAAAATGAATAAAGAAGAGAAAGAATCTCACATGCTTTTGCTTGAAGAAGGGTACGACCTCTCAATCCGCTAGGCTCCAATGCATGATCTAACATAGAACGAAAGTTTCAGATAGATTAAACAGAAATTAGATTAGAAAAAAAAAAATCAACATGGTACACATAAATGCCATAACAATTCTCACTTGAAATGTAGGATGAAGAGGCCAATCCAACAAGAAGAAAGAAGAGAAACAACATTAGAGATGGATTAGACCCCATTGTTTCTCTTCTTTTCAATGATCAGTTTTGTCCAGTCTTGTTATGAAAATGGTGAAAAAGAAAGAGACGAGAAAATGTTGGAATGTGGCAGCTGCCTGCATCTGTAGGGGTGTCATTTTTGTGGAAAGTAAAAAAATGGCAGGAAAATGGAAGAGAGAGAAGCGGAGAAGGGATGGAAGGGGATGAATGGATGGATGGAGGAGGAACCTTGTTTGGCAGTAGCAAAGAAGTATATTAGTTGTTGGATACGTGGGGAATCCCTCTTTTGCTTTATTTGGTGAAAAACTTCTAAACAAGGATCATATTGACATTTTGATTTTCGTGCCAGTTTATAATATTTTCAATCCATTTTTGCATCACTCTTTTATGCATCAGTTACAATAAATTATGTATATATTTTTTAACCTCAATTTGATATTCGTTTCGGCAATTCTTATATAGGTAAACAGCTTATAGTAGTGTCACATAAATATATAATTTCAATACATTTTATACAAGTTCTTTTATTATTAGTATGCATGATTGATGATAAATTAGGCATATTTTAGAATTATCTTATGCCCATTAGCCTTAGTTTGAAAGTTTAATTTCGAAACTCTATGCAAGTCTTGTGCTAATACAAATTTGTACCAATGCATCACAAAATTTCAACTTTTATTATATACTTTGTTATCCTTCTACGTTCTTATGCTTATTATCCTCAATTTTATCTTTCTTTAGTGTAAGTGGAAGGACTTGAATTCGCAATCTTTCACTTAGATCCCTTCTTTTCGAACGAGCTAACCAATCCCTTCTCCCAATCAACCTCAAATTGAAATAAATTAATGGTGCAATTCAAGGTTAATAAGAGGTGATGGTGGTGAATTGTTAGACGAATGCATAGCGAAAGTTTTAAGGTAGATGATATTCATGGTAATGAAGTTTGTTTGTATTAATACACCATCCCAATTTTATAAATAACTTCGATTAATTTCCTAAAAACATAGTAGTGGACAACATTATACTGATCATGTATTATTGGACAGTTTTCATTTCCTTATTCATCCCTACACTAGTATTAGTATCCATTAATCATAATTTGATCCTAAATTTTTGTATCAATTGACATTTATATGTTGTCATTTTACCACTTTTTGGTGCACATCTGGCAAACTTCACAAGATACCCCAATGCATAGGCAAAATTTGGATATAAACTCCACTGAACTTTTAGCATACATGAACTATTTTGTCTCGCTTGTTAACAAACAGTTTGATAATGAAAGGAAACACAGGCCACCATTTCTTCCATCCATCTGTAACCCAAACTCCATAATTAACTTCACTTTATTATTCAGAGCCAATAATACATTAATTCTGTCTATCAGTCTTTTAATCCGTAAGACTAAGAGCAGCAGGACAGCAAAATAAAGGACTAGTTCAAGAAACTAAATTCTTGAGATATAATCACGAAAACGTACATCAGTGAGTTCAGAATTGAAATACATTATACATACAAGCAAAATGGTTCCTCTTAAGACATCAAAGCATAATAAATAGCTTGCTTTCAAGTTCAAAATGTGGGAAAAGCGAATACCGTATTTTTTCGATCATCCGCTTTGCGTCCAGGTACTTAGCATTGCATCACAACCATCTGGCATATGTCCAAAAACGTGTCTGAAATTTCAGCATCAAAACATTGTGCAAAAAAATCTGAATCTGTATAGTCTGATAAAATCAGAGCCCGGCCACCAAAGTTCTTTGATCTCAGTCACTTTGTATTTCCTTTCTGTAATACTAGAAATTAGCAAGGATCTCACCTCTTCTAACCTAATCAGTTAGTATGCAGGCGCTGCCTCAATTGAAGGAAAAAAGTCTCCGCCAAAATTGTGGAAGAAATGCTTGTTTCTAGCAGAGGTTGCTGTAATGTCTCTCCTTACGGCTGATGGACCTCCCCATACGAAGTCTTCGAGCTGTAAGTGATTCAAACAGAATCTCTAAAGCATCTTCGATAGCTTCAGCCTGACTATCCAGTCCATGAGAGCTGAACTCAGGAACAAGATGAAGCTCATAAAGGAGACCAACTGCTGCTGCTGCTGTGCAGGTACGGTCCCATGAGGGTTGCGGTCTGCTCTCAGACAAAGAAAGAAATTGAACCTTAATCGCGGTGGCATTAAATTGGCAAATAAGAATAAACTATTAAAGCATGCAAGTCAAATATATCAAGAGATGAGCATTTTCATGAAGAATCTTGCCTCAGTTTGTGCATTAGAGATACCCCTGCATTCAGAGAGATGCAAGGAAGGTCTTCTCCCCAAACTACCTGTGCTTTATCCTGCACATCAATGTTCAAGGTAAATGTTGAGTAGGATACACTATTACATCACTAGACTGATCCATACGACACTCATCTTTTGCAATGCAGCATGAAATTGGAAAAACACAATCCTCAAACTGATTTTTTGCTTGAGATGTGTCTGATATTTGATACCCATAAACACTCTTAGGCATAGTTCAAATACCGCATGTGTCAATAACTTGAAAACAAGAGTCAGATTCGTAAATATACATTGGGTATTACAAAACAAACAAGCGAAGCCAGTCGAGTGTGATACAATCTACAAAATCCACAAAGTATATCCACAACAAAAATGAAGATATATATGTATTGAAGAGAAGCATGACAAAAACTTGTAACTAATTCATTCAGAGAAGAACTACTTTTCTTTCTTGTAAGATTCAACATTTCATGTGTACTTGCTTGCGTCGTATTTATAACTTGACTGGTGTAACAGGAAACAAATTTGCTTACTTAGAAGGTAATTCATAACCTCTATCCATTTATGTCCACCAAAGGAATGATGGGATTTCAAAACTACATATTGCAGAAGAGTTTCAGGGCACTTCCAGATGTCAAAGCGTTTAATTCTTACTGTTGTTGTAAATGAACTATTTACTAGGAACCTTTCCATTTCAAAGTGAAAACGCAAATGCTTATATCTGTATAACTTAACTCAAGAAAAATATATAACCTACAAGACAATGAACTTGTGGTTGCTCCACTAGATTTCTTTCCTCTTTTCCTTTTTCTTGTCTCCCATCTGAGACAAGAATGCTTAGTCATAGCCCCATGGACGTGTAATAGAAAATAAAAGGAGGTCAGATCCCAATTGTATTTCTGGTTTACCTTTAAACGCTTGAACATTGCTTGGGAATTGCTCCATGTACCATCAATCAAAATAAAATTCATTCTTTCATCTCCAAGTACCTGCATAGTCACACAACCTTCAAATCAATATCCTAGAAGAGTCAGAAGAATTGAAGATTAACGTTTTTAAACAAAGCCAGCCTTCTTTGTATGGGCTAAAGTTTAAGCTACCTGAACACACAGATAAAGGGGCTATAAGCATTCAATGCGTGTGAGGGCAGGAATTCATAGACACATATAAGTAGAATCTTCAACTTACCAATCCACTTTTGTCCACCCAAACTAGTCAGGGCTTGACACTCCATTTTTTGAGGAATAGAAAATTGAATCTTTTGGAATTAAACCATGAACTAAAATTAGGGGACTGATCAAATACCAAGCTCCAATGTGGAAATCTGAATATCTTGCACATATACTGCATTACTTAATTCTGTCGGCTCAACTAATTCGACAAATTTGAGGACGTCAGCCCTGAATGATATTCATGCTTCTTTATATCTAAATTTCGTGCTAATCCAACAGAAACAGAATGTAGCACTCAATTAATCCTCTCCATCTCCTCCCTATGACCAAAGATGCGTAAAACCTCAAAAAGATAGGCATCCATAATCCATTTGCGAGAGTTTAAATCACATAACTTTTTTTTGGGGAAATGGTAAGCTTTAATATAATTCAAAAGTAGGGAAGAACCCAGTAAATATACATATGAGTTCTCGGGAGTTCCCTTCCTATCATCATGTAAAATTTTTACTAACTCTATGGGATAACTACAATTGAAAACTTCAGAGCCTAAATCAAATAACTGTTTACAATGCCAAAACAGTACACTATTACAGAGCATTGTGTCAAGATGTCGCCTTCTCTTATAATGTTATAATTTTCTGATATAACTTGAGCATATTTTCTTAAGTTTATGATGTTATTATCTCATGTGACACTTACGATAGGTATATCCTAAACAAACAGAACATTTACCGACAAGGACTCTAAAAAATGTACTCGGTTCGAAGATTCTTGATATTGAGCACTTCTGTAGCTTCAGAAAATTTCATGAAAATATTCAGTTGAATTCAAGGTTGCAAGTATAGTAAACAGTTAAATTGAATAACATGTAGTATTCATGAAGTAGACCACCATTTACTGTAAAATCATCTTTTGTTCATCAACATCAAATTTCTTAAGATAAATCAATTTATTCTCCTCTCCAAAAGTTTAAATTGCTTCAATGAGCTAATGTAACCAACTAATTACACAATACTGTACTTCATGCACCTATGCAGTTCCAAACCTAGAGTCACATAAAACTTTCACATTCCAACTTGCACAGTCAGCTAGAACAATTTTTGTTCAGCACCAAATTTCTATTTATGTGCATCAAATCAGCAAAGGACCAGAAAAAAAAAATTACAATGATACAAAACTCATAAATTAATTTTTTTTTAAAGCAGGAAATGATTGAGAACAAGGATAACATGTTTCATATGAGGAATATGAGAAATGATTTTTTTGTCCAGAGGCTTAATCAATCAACCTTAAGCCTGAGACTTGAGCTGAAAATCATTTCAATTTGTTTTTTTTTTTGATGCATTTTGTGGAGAAGAAGAACATACCATGTTAAATGCAATCTTAAAACTAAAGATCACAAACTTAATTTGTTAATTAGTAGATCGCAAACTTAATGAAGGTTCTACTATGTTTTGAACCAATCAAGATTTGACAACCAAAAAAAATACAAGAAATTCACTCTTATTCTGTATTCATGCGACTAGAGAAGGATTACCGAATTCTGTTCAGACTGATGATCCCTGGAGGAATTTTGAATGAATGTGTCCTGAACAGACATCGGCATAGCATTCTTATTAGGGTAGAGACACCAAACATTTCTTCTCCCTGAAGAATACACAACGCACTTCAGAAACTCACAGGCATAAACTTTAAAGTCTTAAAGTAGCAAATGAACATGAAACTAAAC